CTCGGTACGCACAATCCGCGTAGTATTATCTCGAAATAGATGTGAGCACACAGTATTTCTTCCGCGATTGTCCGTAAAACTGTCATCGGTGTTCTTCTCGCTCGATATCGTTCACGGACAACGCTGACGGAGATGTGGTTAGAGGGAGGGGGGGGTGTGAGAAAAGCGCAGTCCGTTTATTATTATGTGTGTGTGTGTGTGTGTGTGTGTGTGTGTGTGTAAACCGCTAGCTAGACCGCGGAATGAAAATCCGGACGCCGGCGCGTCGAGACGGATAGGTCGCGGCGGTCACGTCCTCGTGCCGGACGCGCCGGACCCGGTCGTATTATTTTACCGTCGGGCGTACGCGATCGTGTCTCTGGGGCTGTTATTATCGGGTACGGGTTCCACGGTATTGTCGGTGGTTCGCGTGTGCGGATCCGGTACGCGTTTGCGCGTAACGCGTGGCACGGCCGCGGCACGGGATCGGTACCGTAACGTCTAGCGCTCGTTATCGCCGACGTGATCGTCCGTGCGCAGCGCACAGCAACGACGCGCGAGGACGATGATTCGCGAGCTCCGCGGTGCGCGTACAATATCCATTATGTTATACGCGCGCGCGCGTGATAATCGCGTACGAGCGCCCGTAGCGAGCGATGATTGAATCTCGCGCGCGCGCGATTATTTCGCGCGAATTCGTAACGGAATAACACGGTATTACGGACTTATTACGCTCGCGCGGACCGACGTAACCGCGTATTATCCGGGTAAATATATACGAGAGAGAGCGGATAAAAAAAAAAAAAGCAATCATAATAATACTATTAAATAAATATCCGCCTAATCGAAACAGACCGCTCGTCGCGTGACCGTGTTATGTTCGCAAAGCTCGTATACAGGGCGATCGTCCCGGCCGCGTTACGATTCCAGTCGATTTCGAAACAGCGCGACGCACGTACAATATGTACGATATTGTCGATATTCGATGTTGATCCGCGCGTCGCGTCCCGTCAAAAAAAAAACCGGCGTCGTCGATGCGCCCGACGCCGATACGAGCCGGGCGATGGTTCGGGGCAAGTAATTGACACGAAGGTCCACTGCCGAACGCGTCAAACGTGTCCCGTCGTTTGTTTTATCGTAGTGTACGGAAAGTTTCGTGACTTACGGTTTGATCTGTTCTACCGAGAGCGACATTGAATCGCCGCAATCAAAAAGCGGTTCGCGGCTGACTCGCGTTTTATTCGCTTGCGGTCGGTCGGGTCACCCGGAAATCGACGAGGATATCGAGTCGGTGTATCGAGATTTCGGCGTCGGTTGAATCGCGTAGTAAACTGTCGGGAACGTAGAAATTATTGTTTCCAAAAGCGGTCGAACGCCGCGAAAAGCGGTTCGGGTACACGAGAACCGCCCGGCGAAAATGTTCTGTCTGTCACGGTGTCACGCGAAAAAATCTGAACTCACGTTACCCATCGTTCCGAACCGACAAGTCGCCACCGTGACTTTTCGTTACTGTCCCATTTCTCTCCGCCGCCTTCGCGACCGACCGGAGTCGGTACCGTTTCGAACGTGTCCGCCGTACCTCTACCTCTGACGCACACCGTTCGTCCGTACGCGGACCTCCAGTTGGTTTAAAATTAAAAACCACAATGTTCGGATACCGCGATTTCCGCACGGGTCGAGTACGCGGAGTAATCGGTTATCATCGTAGTTAACCGTCACCGCCCTGTACACACGACAGCGCCGTTTCGGCCGCGCGTTGTGCAAACACAGTATTATTATTTCGCGATGAGTTCGCGAATAAGACCGGTCCGCGCGCCGGGTATTTTACATATAGGCGGGTGCGCGGGCAAGGTAGCGGTTGCGTACGCGATGTTATTATTACGGCAATAACGAACCGCGAGAACGGCACGAGATGCCGCGGCGGCGGCGCACGGTGATAATTACGCGTTCGCCGCACGAAATCCGAACCGACCGTAATGCGTAGAAAATAAAAAAACGCCCGGTCGCCGCCGCGGTCTCCCGCGGTATTTGCGCGCGCGCGCACCGCGACCGCACGTGTGTGATTTAGGTGCGCGCGCGGTGATACCCGCGATCGTGCCCGACGTTGTTCAGGTCCGGTGTCCGCGCGGAACCGCGTTTTCCGCCGAGTGTTCCGTAGATTTCGATTATCAACAGACACGAGCGGTGACCGCGCGACATTCGAACAGCGCCGTTCGAATATAATACCTGTCGACCCGAAAGCAATACGCGATTACGGCAATTCGGAGTGTCGTTCTTTTTTTTTTTTTTTTAAAAGGTTCATCGAATTGCTTCCCGGTTTCACAAATATCGTTCACTTTAATCGCCCATCTCCCCCCCCCACCACCCGTTTTAAACGGTTATGCTCTTGTACGCGAATCACCTCCGATAGTTGTAATAAATCGATTTCTAAACTTTGCATCGTTGGAAGTATTGATAAATTACATTTATAGTCAACGTCGTCGATTGATTTAACGTTAATTAAGATTAATAAACGATAATAAATGTATCACCGATATTGGTATACGGTCAGCGTTCTTGAGTTTGTACGTAGATAATTATAAAAATTTCGGTAAACGGTTCGGTACAGCGGCAACGATTAAATTAATAATAGAATAATAATAATAAAAAATCAAAAAAAACATAAAACAATTTAGACGAAATACACTCGAATCGCCTCCGAAAAACCCCCGGGGACGAGTCGAGTGAAAAAAAAAAAAAGTCACTCGCCTAAATTCGGTAGGCAATTCGGTAGAGCCGTCAGATTTCTCCGACGTTATACCGTTTGTCACACCGCCGCGTTGTATTACGGTTTTCCGCGTTTATCGTTTCGCGACCGCGCTATCGCCAAACCTTGTACACCCCGTCGACTAGAAACGATTTAACACAAGCGTTGTCGTACGGTGTCGTACGCGGACCAAAAGTGTACTGTAAAAAACTACTCGCGTTTCGGCGGTACTACATCTCCGCAAACGTGTAGCGTAATAATACGCATGACAATTAACAAACGGTTATCGCGTGTAACTGCCGGGGCAAGACACGGGACGTGAAAAATCGACGTGAAGCACGAGGTTCAATCAACGGCAACGATAATATTATGCGTTCAACGGGGACTGTGAATGGTCGACAGAATATTTTTTAAACTCGTATTGAAGTACTCGTATTTCCTGTATCTCTTGTACGCATTTCGCATCTAATCGGTGCATTGAGAAGATCCATTTTTATATCCCAAACGGGGTGTTTATTATGAAAAGAAAACCCGAATAAAACGTATAACTAGGAAAAACGGAACGGTTTTCACGCCGCGCCCCGGCGTTAACGATTTTCTCATTTTGAATTTTCTCGATTAGTGTTTGCAACCGGAAATCTTACTCCGAATTTCATAGAGTAGCATCGTTACCGAAAGACAATTTTATCATCTTCGGGGGGTGGATGGCGTAATTAAACCTGCGTGTCAAATATCTGTACATATTTATAATATTTAAATACAGCTTCCAGAAAAAAAAAAAAATAATAATAAATACAAATCTCTGGCGTCATCATTTGATGAGTTTAATAAATTCAACAATAATATCATAGTTATATTATGCCTTGTATTAAAATCGATTCGCCTTCTTTACCAACACCGCTTTCTTTTATGATTCCCGTCCGCCGTACCCGCTCATTCTCGCCTTTCTTCATCGCCCCGTCGTCTGCTAATTACTCTTTCCGCTCTCCTATTCCAAGCCCCAAGCGCGCCGCCGACGCGAACCTTTCTTTCTTATGTTCTTATAAAAAAAAAAAAAAAAAAATTATTCATATTCCAGGCTACAATAACCGTTCTGCATCAATGTTACCAGTACCAGTACACGGTAAAAACTATTTAAAAAAAACCGCCCTGTTCCTAGCGCGGTAACTCTACGTAACAAACTCTCGGCGACAATTGATTTTTTTCATCGCATCTTTAAGTTATGCTCTAACAATTTCAATCCTATTTTTCTTTCTTGGGTTCTTATTGTAAATTTTCTTTAAGATACTTATTGTTTTGTTTTCTGTACTATGGTTCTAATAAATTGTCTATACATACTATTCGGCCCGTTTTATTCAACCGAATATTATCACTGAATTACTGAAATATACCTACCTAACAGTAGCCGATCGTGTAACAGAATACCGATCAAAAAAAAATCAAGAAATTATGTTGGTTTTAAAATATTTTCGTTCGGATAATCGCCGACTGGTTGTATTCTGAATTTTCGAGTTTTCCGAGGGCCTCGCCGCTCTCTATCTTCGGCCCCCGAAATTCGAGAATTTCGTCTCTAGAAAAACGCGCGTATAGTTATGACAGTTAACGCAGTCGCGATTGCATACGTTTCCTTGTAATTTTAAAACTATTCGCAGCCGCGTAATTACTGTCGTCCCGTCGAGAAATTCTCCGGAAATACGTAACCCCCGACGAACGTAACAATATCACGACGGGACGCAGCGGAGCCCGCATTCAATCTCAATGCGTACGCGCGTATTTTTTATTGTTGTTATTTTTTTTACAACTTTGGCCGTACCCCTTCCGAGTTTTTTTCCAGTTCGCTCTGTGCAACGTTCAAGTGGACTGTCCGGCCGGAACAGGATAGCCAAACCTACCGGCGCCGTAGTCGCAGCCGCCGCTCCGACATCGCCGCACACAGTCCCCGTCGCGTCCGCGGTTCTCGGCGCAGCCGCTCGTCGTTCCGCGATCCGATCCGCCCGGCGATCTCCGAACAATATCGTCTCGCGTACGTGTCCGATTTAAAAAAAAAAAAAAAAAAAAAAAAAAAAAAAACAAACCGATAATTATAACGGTGCGGTGATTCAACCGCCGCGGGACGACGAAGACGACGAGGGTCGGACAAGGACCAAGGAAACGCGCGTCCGCGTCGGCGTGTCGTCCGCCGCGGCCGTCTCTCCGGGTCGCGTCCGGGCCGGACCTCTTCAGGCGGCGGCGGTTCGCAAGACTACGGAGACGGAAACGCCGGAAACGGCCGGGCACTTCGGATCACGCGGGTGCGTAACCGTAAAACGTATCGCAGGTAACGACGGGGGACGGGTATACGCGAACGCGGTTTCGCGTGTTTCACAATGGCCGGTGGAAAGTGTTGGTTTGGCGTACGCCGAAATTACGGTACTTCGATGCGGGGCGTACGGATCATTGTACACACTTGTCTGTCTACGGGGACGATAAAAACAATCGTGTTCTGGTTTTTTTTTTTTTTTTCCTGTGTACTTCTCACGGGGATAAGGACTACAAATCTTTATATTGCAATCGATTGATCGATTGTTTATGTTTCGACGAAATTTAAAAAAAAAAAAAACCTATTTTATTATTTTCGAAAAATTTCAAGACGGCCATGTATATTATTGAGATTGTTTCTTCTGAAAACGTTGACGTATCAAATTATTGTTTTCAGTAAATTCGTGATTTTTAATATTGTTTTTTTTTTAATATTCTGAGAAAACAAGCGCACTGCAGTCAATTAATCGTAATAACAATAATTAATCAAAGCGTTCGATTATGCAGCCTGCTACATTATTATTGGTGCCTAATTTTATCTGATCTTTAAACAAACTATTAAAAATCAACGAATTTAATGAAAACTAAAAGTTGATACGTCAAAATATTCGGAAGACTAAACTACACAGAATGGTTATCTTTAAATTTTTCAAAAATAATAAAAACAAAATTAATTTTTTTAATTTCTTTGTCAATGCGTAAAAAACTATTTGCAACATAAATATGCGTAGTCCTTATTCCTGTGAGTAATATAAAAAACAAAGACAGAATTTGATTTACTTGATTATCTCCGGATATATTACAATGGGTATATCTTCGTAGAACACCCTGTATAAACCGTTGATTTTTTTTTTTTCTTATTTTGTCGTCTTTCGAATTTTTAGTGCATCATAAGTTTTAGGGATTTCCTAAAACGTTATTTTCGACTCGAAAACCGCTAAATAATAACCGTTCGAAATTTATAAATTTCAGGAAGCGTGAACTGATTAACGTTAATTATTTGATAATTAGCTAATTTGTTCCGCCCGGGTGGATTGTTATAAATTCAATTAAAACCAAAAAAAAAAAAAACAGCCTTCGGTTAAAAGTTAACGAAAAATAAATCGAACCGTTCCCAACCAAGTTTTTGAACTCGCCTGAATAAAGTTAATATTTACTTATTATTTTTCACGCTATGAATAACCAACGCTAAACTTATACAATATAACGAGCAGTACATATTTCTAAATTTTTTGAATTGTATAAAAATTAAATCAAATCGTGTATCGCGATAAATTGCGTTTGTAATACGCATAAATCGCGTTGTGGTAAACAGCCAATTAAAAATGAATTACGTATTACGGAAAAAAAAAAAAAAATCATCTTTACCTCGTTAACCAAACCGGGTGTTTATGCAGATTCACTTGAAAATTGCTAATTAGTTAGTATACGATAAAAATAATTTATCGACTCGGGGTTTATTATTGTTCTCTTTTTGTTTTACCGTAATTTCGATCTCTTTTCCCACATTTTTTTAAAGCAATTTCGGACTCAGAATGGACCGAAGACGCTTACGGTTTTAAAAAGATGTTCATTTATTTTATCTGTGAACAACTTTACTACCAGAAGGCTTGTGCTTGAAATATTTTAGGGAAGTCAATTTACTCGTGAAATTACGAAAAACCGAAAAAAACGGGATATGTACGAAATATATCACTGGAATATTACTGTTTTTTTTTTCTCTTGTTTATAATTTTTTAACCAGCAATTTCGCTCAAACACTTAATGATAGTAATGTTTCTAAAAGGGAATTTCACTAGTAAGGTACTTTAGAGAGGTCATTTTTTGATTTTCTAAAGTTTTTTCCGGGCAAATTAAAAAAAACCGGAAAAAATGTAGGAAAACTGGGTAAATCGGTATGACATTTAACAAATATTATTAAAAAAAATATATAAAGTCTACATTAATTATTTCACCATAATATGACATATATATCGTCGACAACGCATCACTATATCAACTGAACTCCGCTCAGAATCGTTTTTTCGTAAGCAATGGTTTATCGTTGCTTACAGCTATACATTGAATTGTCTGTAACAGTGGTTGCACCCGTCCCCGTCATCCTGGGACGTATTTTCGTTCTTATTCAGTTTTTTTCGACAAATCGAATCTCTTTTTCGGAGAAAATTCTAGTTGATTTTTAGTGTTTAAAGTGCATTAGTTTTTTTTTCGAGATGTTGAACGGTTTTCATCTTAGCGAGACGTTAGCGCGTTAAATACCTACGCCCGTCTTTTCAATTTTTCGCGCGAGCCTGTTTTCGGCAATCCGAAATTCGATTTTTTTTTTTTTTTTCGGATCGCGGACGTTCCGTTCATAAACACGCGTCCGGTTCGCGTTTTCGCCCGCAAACCTATTGAAACACGTTAAACTATAATCATAATTCGTACCGTATTTCGGATTCTAATAGTCTAGAACGGTGCAACAGTGTAACCGATCGTTTTACTGAGACGTAAGTCGCTTTTCTACGTAAACCCGCTTTTCCGGTCGGTAAAACAAAACCGATCACGTCCGTTCACCGTCGCACCTCGAATCGCGCGGATTTTCCGACGGTTTTTCGGAAAACAAAACGGCGAAAAAACAATCGGCCATACACATTTTGTCGGCTTCCCGGTTCACCCGCGGACGTCCCGTCGACAGATACCCGCGGCGGTTACGTCCGTGCGCACTGTGGCGTCCGTCACGGCCGCCGGACATTTTCCCGTAACGTTCCGCGTAATCCCGCGGCGACCGACAACAGTAACGATAACGACGGCGGAACACGCGGCCGCGTTGCGCGGACCAGTCGCGGACCGTCGGCGGAGGGTTCCGCGAACCGCGTGCCGCGCGAACGCGCCGTCAGGACGAAATCCGTTTCCGGTGCGCGCCGCCGGTTTCCCGTCGGCGTCGTCCCGCGGCCGGCCGGGCCGCCGCGTCCGCGAACCTCCGCACCGCGTTGTGTCAACGTGTCATTCCGTTTATCGGCGTCCGCCTGTGACCCTCCGGGTTTCCGTTTGAAAGTTTTGTTTTTCGTTTCCCACTCTCCCCCCCCCCGGCCGCCGAAACGCGTCGTTCGAAACCGCCGCCCGGCGACCACCCGTTTCGAAAATTCGTAATCGCGTTGTTTTCCCGCCCCGCCGAATCGCCGGACGCATTCAAACGCAGCCGCCACGAACGGTTCGCCGCGCGCGTCGTCTCGAGTGGCCGCCGAACGCCGCGGCGTTACTCCCGGCCCCCGCGGTCGTTTTTCGCCCGCCGTTTTACATGCGTGTTTTCCGTTCGGTTTTCTACGGAATCGCACGGCAGTTTCCCGGATCCGATCGGAACGTGTTTTTTTCGTTTTTTTCACCTTTCTTGTTTCGTCACTTTTTGTTAAGAACTATCAAATTTACTAATAAATTTTCATTCGGTGGGGCGATGACGGGGTTTTATTTTTTTTTTCTTATTGTTCGTTTTGAAATAACCGTTGTGGTCCGAAATTTGCAGACAAAACACGTTTATTAGACACTTTTTAGACGCGACAAAATTGTCAAAACATTCCAGCGGTTTTTGAATTATATTTAAAGGCATTTGGCGTTTTAGAGTTTTTATTTTGTTTTATGCGATTAAAGTTGTATTGGCCGAACAGAAATTGATAACAATTTAAGCGGAAGACCGTTAAAAATAATCGTTCTTATAGCGATCGGAAAAAAAATGTCGCGCGTAATGTAAATACGTTTTATTTTATTTTTTATTTTTTTATTAACATTTTAGTTTCAACGAAAGTTGCGTGCGGTTCAAGTTAAATGACTATGTGTATCCTAAATTTCGTAAATTCTGAATATTTTTCTTCTGAAAGTTTTTTAAAATAATATTCGAAAACTTTCCAAAACGAAACGTCTAGTGTTACAACCGTGTACCGATATTGCCAAATATATGATCATAACGGCGATGGGGGGGGGCGGTGGTAGGAAACCAATAAAATCAATCAAACTAACCGATTTTCTCGTGGGTTTCTTATCAAACGCACTGCAGCGCGCGCAGAAGTTTTAGAATAATAATTTATTAGGTACCCGTGTGAAGGTAAATATTATTATATCTGCAGTCTGAACACACACACACACACACCCAGTTGCGCACAATCTCGGCGGAAAATCTGCAATGTTCGAACTCATCGTTGTACGCGCACGCGACGATAGATTGTCTGTTGGTATTGTCGAAAAATGACACGTTGTCGACGAACCTGTAAAGTTTTTTTTGTTTTTTTTTCTCGTTTTAACATTTCGAATTACCGCGGCCTACGGATAACGTTTCGTGTGACGGCGTACTCGCGCCACCGCCTGTACACGCAGTAGACGATGTTTCAACATCACGTCGAACGGACGTACGCGTGGCGTTAGAACAATTGCACGTACAATACAGACCGGAAACCGATAAAGAAATGGGACAGAAAAAAACGATATACCCGTACGTATAATGTATGTGTTGTTACGCGATTTGTTTCGCGTTGACATTTCGAAATTATCGTTACGTTATCGCGGTTATAGAAAATAATATAACGGTATTGGCGATTTTCGGGTTTTTTTTTTTTTTTTTCATATTTTCATAAATCCTCATCGATATAAGGATTTTAGATTCGCTTCNCGCGTGGCGTTAGAACAATTGAACGTACAATACAGACCGGAAACCGATAAAGAAACGGGACAGAAAAAAACGATATACCCGTACGTATAATGTATGTGTTGTTGAAAATTCGTTGAAAATCGAAAACTCAGCGACTAACTTTTTCTTGTAAAATCGCGGATCTAGTCGGTGTATTGAAAAGGTAGATTTTTTTTTTTTTTTTCGACGCAACACTTTTCACAGTTACGGGGGAAAGCTGGGAAAAAACGGTAATGCAATATTTATATACTATAGCTGTCCCGCCCGGCGTTGCCCGCGCCGATTTCGTATTACTTTTTTTACCCGTGTTTCTGTTTGGTTTTGACCGCGTCGGTAATGAATAAAAACAAATAAGTGGAAACTCGGTAATCCACCTTTGGCGGCCCAAAAGTGTTCCGTTACGGCATTTTTTCACGATTTTCATAAAAAAAATATCGAAACCTCGAATTTTTTATTTATTTTTTTTTTTTTGGGGGGGGATCGGTGAATTTCATAAGAAGTGAAGCCTTAGATAACCTATCAGGGAGTGGGGCGCTCGACGGCGGGAAAGCTCGTGTACCGTATTACAGCTGATCGCCGCTCGCAGACGGCACAGAGTTCGTTATTTATACTTCCATGTGAGTATTGGCCGACAATTAATGTTTTAATATAAAATTAATAAACTCTATTGTTAATCTGCGTGTATAAAAACGGATCGGTATTTCGTCGGTGACGCCGTAACTCGAATACCGTCAAAATTTCAGATTTTTCCGGTAGATTTTCCAAAAATGTTCTTTCGTAATAACCTTACGAAGGAACGGCGCCGGCAACGAAATACCGATTCATTTTTTACATTATATATATTTATAGATGCGCGTATTTCCTGATTATTTAAAAAAAAAATTATAACTCGGTTGTGTCTCTCTCGCGGCGCCCTCCGGTGAATCTGTTGTAATTAACCGGACATGCGGTTTCGTTATTTTCGTATCGGTTTTTTGGGCCTAATTTTCGGTTAAAAATAATCGTAAAAGTCTGAAGTTTCCGCAGAATACTAATATCGACATTTTCCAGACGTAATGAAATTCGAATTCTTTTGGTCGTTGTATTTTAGTTTTATGTCTGGACATTATGTCGATCACTTTACAACCGGAGCTCGATTAAACGTGTCTAGGCGGAGGCTGTAAGTCGAATGGTGCCGCTGTGTTTTCCGTCACGTTTCTCCTTTCCTTATGAATTCGGTGTGAATTCAGAGTGTGACGGAGTAGTTGCGATTTTACAGTTCTACTGGTTTTACTAAAAGATAAAAATAAAGACGCGGATTATTTCGCTTGATGGTACTTTATTCAACAAATTAGTCCCAAATACATTTATCGAAAAATTAGTTTTTAAAAAAAGTAGTTTAAAACATTTTTTTTTTAAAAACACTCTTTCGGTCCGTCAAAAGCTCCTATTTTATATTTTTTTTTTTCGTGTAGCGAGTACTTCAAAAATAAGCGGCATTTCTACTAGGCGACAATTCATTCGAGACGTGCACACGTTTTCAATACACCACCTAGGTTCGTGTCGATGCTACGCTATACCGACGTAATAATTTCATAACGGTTACCGTCGACAATCGAACACCATTACACGCGTCGAACAGCACTCGAATACGGAAAGAATAATAATAGTAAAAAACGATTGGCTCCGGACAAAAGCGATTTCGCCGTGAGCGGTATCGCGCCCCGTGGACATTATAAAAAAATGCAACCGTTCACGCGTAAATACGGGAAATTTTCGGGTGATACGCGCCCCGGCGCACGGCCATTACGTGGCCCGCGGACCGTCCGAGATTCCGCGCGCGGCCGTGTACACGATCCGGCGTTCGCCTGTTATCGCCGCGCCGACAAGTCCCCGCGCGGCGCGAACGCGTGACGGATCGTTTACCGAGCAAAACGAAAACGTTCGGGGCAGTTTACGGCGGCCCGACCCCCGTGCGTTATTCATCGGTCGCGTCACGGTCTTTTCAAATGGGAATTGACGCGTGCGCCGCCGTGCTCGGCACGTATTCGGATCGCGTACGCGATCCTGTCCACGTAGATCGCCGAACGCGACGGCCGTTGTACGCGCGACATCCCCTCCGTGCGCGCCCCGCGGTATCCGATAGTGGCCGCGGTATCGGATTATAATAATAACGCCGCGGATTGACGATCCCGCAACGCGCGGTATCCCACCCCACCCCCCCCCCCCCCCCCCCCCCCCCATACGCCGACCGCCTGTACGGTTTTTGTGCGGGCGTGCGAACGGATCGGGATAAACAATACACCGATAACGTATATCACGCGCGGCACGTCGTGGCGATACCGCGCGTGTACGCCGCGCCGGCCCGGGCGGAGAGCGCCGCGATAAGGGCGCGGACGGCAAAGCGGCGGCCCGGATCGACGATCGACGGTACAACGCGCCGGGGCCGGTGCCGGGAGCGACGCGAGAAGGCGTACGTCGGGCACCGGTGACCCGCGGGCGCGCGTACGGTCGCGTACCGCGGTTACGGCGACGGACCGAAACGGCGCGCGGGCGTACCGTGCGCGACGACGTCCCGCGGCGCACGTGAACCGGACGCGCGCCCCGCGCGCACCGAGGACGCACGTCGGTTCGCGCGAAATCGCGTGCTGTAACGGCCGCCGCGTACGGTCCCGCGAAATGTCCGGGTTTTCGTTCGGTTCCGCGGAGAGGTATTCGCGTGCGCGCTCGTACAAAAGACGAGTCGGCGGCGCCGGGTTTCGATACAAAACACGAAAAAAACAATTATAACCCCGCCTGAAAAAATAAACCGAAAAAGAAAAAGAACGTGTTTTCGTCCGCGCCAACTAACCCCATGCTAAACGCGATCGAAATGAAACAACGCAAATCCGCGTGATTTCGGGGCATTTTTTTCGACTCTCCCGGGGATATGGACGAACGACACCGCGGTCGGCGTCGCGTAACGCGCGCGGACAACGCGGCACGGCCCCGAAACCGGGCGATGGGAGAAAAACGAAAAAACGAAAAAAAAAATGCACGAAATATATTACTACGACATTACGATTTTTTTTTTCCTGGCACAATTTTTCTACCGATAATTTCGCTCAAACTTATACTAATAGAAATGTTTCTAAAAGACAAATTTCACTTGGGAGGTACGTTAATATATCAAATATTTTACTGTTACAAAGAATATTCGGACGCTGAAAATAAGTTAAACTTAATAACTAAACTCACATGATGGAAAAGTGGGTTTACTTGTTTTATAAAGATTACTATTCCTTAGATATAATTTTTTCGACAAGTTTAGTTTGATAAAATTACCTGCTACATTTATACCGATACGGTTTGTTGTTAGTACGAATCACGCCGTTGTCGAGTTAATGTATTGAATTCACGTGTTTTTCGCCAGCAAATTATTTTGTCATTTACCGATTAATTTGTAAATAGTTAAAATGCCTAAAAACTCCAAATTCAAAACCGGCATCGTACAACAATTCTGGTGAGGTTTTCGAAATTTTAAATAATACAACTGTTTTCTGTCAGCATTGTCAAAAACCGATAACAGTTAGAAAAAATTTTAAAATTGATCAGTATGCAAAGTCTTTTTTGCATCAAAAATGTCTAAACAAACTTTCATTCAATCAACGTCTATAGAATATCAATCACAGTTTTTCAAAGAACTTTGTAATAACTTTAATTTCTTCAAACATACATTTATATAAACTACAAAATACAAACTTTCAAACTTTTTTGGAAAAGTACACAAATAAACATATACCAAATGAAAGTACGTAGAAAAAAGAACTATTTAAGTAAATGTTATATTGATGTTTTACAAAATATTCGAGAATATATGGGCAGCCCGTCTGTTTTTTTTTTTTGCTGTTGATGAAACTAATAAATAACGTTAAATTTTCATTATTCGTGTATTTCCAGTAATTTGTGACTTGTGTACTGTTTGACTAGGGTTATTCTCTGAGTACCTAACTTATAATGTCTTTTTCAACACCGTACTGTACTATAATACCATACGGACGCTGACTCTGTGATAGTTATACTATCGCGACAGTGACATCAACGACTATCGGCATAAGTATAGTAACTAATACATTATCATCGTGTGGACTATATAGGACTTACGTTAAAACACTACCGGTAGGCGATATCGTGCAGCTGCAAAGAATAATTATCTATACAATTATTCATATAAATTATTATTAGACGGGGGAAAAAAAAATTTAAAAGTTTTACATAAACTAATATCTGAAATTTTCGAGCAACATTATGATCGGGCATCGAAAAAAAAAAAAAAAAAAAAGTCTGACTTTAAAGTAAACACTATGACTTTGACACACGGACTTGCAGAAAACAATTATTGTTGTTATTTTCCTAGTGATATATTTTTTTTACATACATTAATGTAATCATTTTATCGTATTTATATTGTACAAAAGAGAACTTCTAGAGTATGCATGCATACGATGACGACGGGACAACGTCAGTTTTGTTTAATACTTTGTGAGCAAACTCGGATTAGTTTTTTTAAAGAACGCCGTACACCGTATGATATAGGCCCGTAGGGTTATTCGGACGTAATATTTTCGTATTCCGTACGGGCGCTCGCGTATAATTAAATATTTACGAATCGCGGAACGCGACGATAATATATAATCGAAATAATATTTATATGTTTCCGCGTATCATTGTGTTCATACGCATCGCTGACTGCGAAATGTATACCGGTGTCGGGCAATACTTTGACAAATCCAGGATCCGGATTACAATTAAAAATCATCCGGAATCCGAATTCCGATTTAATCCGGATTATCGGGTCCGGTTCGGAAATTAAGAGCCGATCCGCGAATCCGCTGATTTCTATTGAAATAGATAACCTATTAAAAACTAAGCGATTAAAAAATAAAAATAAAAAAACCTGACCGCGTTAAAAAATAAATAAATTGAACATTTTTAAGAGCAAAATCTGTTCAAATATTGGAAATGGTATTGACGAAAAGGCGGTGACAAGCAGATGATTACAAAACGTTTGACAATTTAAATATTTTCACTTAAAGACCACTATACTTGTATCCGTCTGCAACACCTTTTTCACCATTTGATCATACGAATTTTTTATCGATTATAATAGAGCTTGTTTTTCGCCACACAGCACACCGTTATCATTACAAAACAAGTTAATGTCAAATTTAAATTGTAAATTATACTATTGTTGGTACATAATAAATAATTATTCGAGCAGAGTTTAAAAATAAATAACCTGTTTTTAGATCTCCATAATCCGGATTCGTAATTTCCATTATGATTAATACTCATACTCCGGATAATAATCAAAATCCGGATCGGTAATTCGGATTCGTATCGATCCGGATCAATCCGGATTTGGTGCTCGGCACTAAAAATGTACCCATTTAAAAATCATTTGAAACCCCATTCCGAGTGAAGCTCTGATTAATTTCAGATTATGATGGAAAACTTAGTCGTTTTCCCCCAAGGTGTAAACTGGGGACCTCAGAAATACAAAAAAAAAAAACGAACAGACACTGCCGGTTGGTACGTCACTGTTGTATGTTGAGTGTAGGAAAGGTAGGATACGTAATTAAAATAACGATAACGTAATTTATATCCGTACACTGCGACTAGACTCAATTTTATTTCGGACAAAATGCTACACTTGGAATCGGAATAATATTATTTTCTGGTAGGAAAGTCGTTAATAGAAAGAATTATGGGGATTAGGTCCGGCGAACAAAGTGGCGCTCTCTGTGTCTTACAAATAGACGGCCGCGGCGTATCGCGTCATAATACTTTTTGACTGTTGTTGGCCTTTTTAAAAAAATGTTTTCGAGAAAAACGTTTCAGATAAAGTGGTCCCGCCGGCTGGAGTATCCGGATATTCTACTTAAAGTACTGCGTGAAAGTTTTACGGTATTTTCTATGCTAATCGGAAAAATGTTTTTCACGGAAAAAAAAAAATATATATCAAGTCCTCTCGCTCTACGATCAAAATCTATACGGAAATTATTCCACAGTGTTTATTGGATAACGTATTGCTTCGTAATTAACCGTATTAAAATATATTCTGCTAATTCGATAAAGAAAAAAAAACAAAGATAAAGAGGATTGTGTTATTACACACATAGAATAATGTGAAAAGAAGCGTCGGGTGTTTTGTGTGACAAGATAATTCCAATGAGACTCGTAGGTGAATTCGACGACAACGCGACAAGACGTTCTGCGGTTCGAAGGGTTGGTGGACGGGTAAAAAAAACAGAAAGAGAGTGTACCGACGGTTGCTTAGGCGGACGAACGGGGGAACGAGAGACGATATGCCAAGGAAAATGGCGTGTGAGAAGTAACATCGGCGCGACTTCGATAACACACGAACGAGATCGAACAGTCAGAGACGGTTTCAGCGTTTGCACAAGACTGGAGGAATCGGACGCAGCAATAACGGCAATGGAAATAAATGTAAGAGAAAAAAAAAAAAAGAGGAAGAAAAAAAAATCGAAAATAGACGCGGTTAGATGCGGTTGTACGCGAACGATACGGCAGTACCCGAGGACAACCGGTGTACGCGAAATTCGGAGATTCGGTCAAGTGGAAATCCGGTGCGGCTGACCGCGAACGCCTCGGACGCCGGCGGAGGAGAAGTAGAATAACACCGGAGAGACGCACTAATAACACACTATATTATAAAAATGCGAAAGTCCGCTCGGACTGCTGTACGGATTGAACGGAAACTGCGCGGACGGACCGGGAATATCGTGAATAAGATGTTCCCGCCTCGTCACACTCGACCCTTTGAAATGGGGCGCGACGCCGGATAAGTGGCATTTCGAAAACGTAAAAATCGAATTGTTTCCGTTGGTTTACGCGCTGCCCCGGCGATACGGACGAAACGGACAATGTAAACGGAAAAAAAAAAAATGGGGTTCGTAAAAACGCAAACACGGGGCGGTATTTGTGTATAATTTTTTTTTTTTTACACGACCGGACAGGACGGCCAGTTAATATTTATTTATTAATCCGTATAACATTTTATTCGATATTATTAATTATTAATATTAATGGTTATTGGAACGCAAGCCGTAAATATAAATTGTCGTCACGTACAGCGGTTTCGCTCGCCGTTTTGCTAAAATAATATCATTATCATTATAATCGTTTATTTCTCCGTAAAGATAACGGAGATAATGTATGCTAATATATTTGGACACGTCGAGTTATTATTGTTTTATAGACGGTACGACATTAATTATTTATTATTTCGGACTTATAAATTACGTATGCGACGGACAATAACGATAATAACGGCACCGCGTGCGCCGCCGATTTCCCCCCCCCTCTTTTACCCGCCGTCTAAAAAACATTATAATTGTTCATATTCCGCGGATAGATGCCGTGTATGAAAGTATAATAAATAACGTTTTGACAATTCGGTTATTCAAACGTGTTGCGATACAACGATCCGCGGCTATTATAAACTGTTATCGTAACCCGTTTACCGTATTATATGGTATTTTTCACGATTGGTCCGCGTGTTCGTTATTTACATATTGTACGTGTATTCGCTCACGCGCTCCCGTGTCCTATTACGGACTGCGGCGTTGCGAATTGTGAAAGCGCGCGTTCAGATAGACGTCCGCTATCCGTTTATGCCGAAATTAGCGAACCAGATACGGTTCTACGTTAGGAATAACGTGTGCGCTACATTTCCCACTCGCACCCCCTCCCGCCCCCCCGTCGCCTAAACGCGAGCTAATAGCCGTTAGGGAGAAAATCGAATTTCTTTTGTTGATTTACGGGTCGTCTGGGCGACATGAATCGAAAACGAAAAGAGCCGTCGTAGGATAACGCCAACGGGGACGGCCACCACCGTTGCGGGCGGAAAGTTGGGTAGGCGGCGTACAGAAGGGAATTCAATGTATATCCGTAAGCAACGACAGAACCGTTGCTAACGCAAAAACGATTCTGAGCGGAGTTCGGTTTGATAGTGATGCTTCGTCAACAACACACCTGTCATATTACGGGAAAATAATTAAAACAGGCATTATATATTTTCTTTAATAATATTTATTTAATATTGATCCGGAACCTTCCCGTTTTACCTACTTTTTTCCCGGTTTTCCCATTTACCTCCCTAAAGCCTCACTCCCCCCCCCCTCAGTCGGATTTCTTTTTAGAAAACGTACTATCATTGTAAATCGGAACAAAATTGCTGGTAGAAACGTCGTCCATAGGAAAAAAATCGTGTATTTTACTCATAAATTTCGTACATTTTCCCGTTTGTCCTCCGTTTTTTCTTTTCGATTTTTCACATTTGAAGAGAAAATTCCTGAGAAAATCGCAAAATAACCTCATCAAAGTACCTCCCCACAACGATTTTCTTTCGTAAAATGTGCTGCGCTTAAAAATCGGGGCGAGATTTCTGGTAGAAAAGTTGTCCATCTTGGTAAACCCATAAGTTTCTTCGCTTCACTAAGAATTTTAAAAAAATAAGCAATAAGTAAATACATATAAAAACTGCAACAGTCTTTCGTGAGAATACGACCAATGAACAGTACAGTTACTTTACCTATAGAAACTTATTACTTAGTTCATTGTTGAGTTCAATTTCAATTGGCTAGGATAACGCCTGGCGGGACAGCTAGAAATAGAATACGAGTATAAATACGATGGTGAAATCTAGAGATAACAAAGTGGGACTTAATTTTTTATAGACACCTACATATTATTTTATACATATAAATTAATCTGAAACTCAATTACAAACAATCAATTCCATCTACAGTGTTACACTATCATATCTGTTGTCGGATATCAGGACTTGTAATGATCAAAATCACAATCAAAAATCGTCAATTTGTAATTTGATTCTAAACGATTCTAATGGGACGTAATATAAAGAAATCGATTTTAAATTTTAAAGGTCGGCTTCAAACTTTTGATGATTTTGATCTTGGACGTCTGCACCTTTTTCATGGCCAATTTTTTCATAATCAATGTGCATAAAACAATCGTTGAAAATTGTTTGTTATACAAAACTGCAATAATATGTTTATAAAGAATGTCTGTTTTATAGTTTGACCCAACGAACCCTATATCATACATTAGTCTTTTGCGTGTGAAATGAAACTATTTTATTTATTTTTTTTTTTTTAATAAATCGTCTCAGTTAGCATCTTAAAATGCCTTCTTATCAGCAAACCTCGTCGGTTTTGTCGTACAGAATGTATTATATTCTCCGTCACGGTGCACACGTAGAATTTTAGATAAATGTTAATTTCGACGCAGTTTTTATTCAATCGCGAAACCATATACCTAATAATATTATTACTACTACACGATTAATGCGCTTGTATACGCAGCATACCCGCCTACCTGTTGCGTATAGTTGCGAACCTATCCGTATTATATACGCATAGCCACTAAACAAAATATAATAATATGACGTGCAGCCCCGCGGCATGTACATTATAGACGACTGTAAATTATAATGGCACTGTAACATGTATATGTATAGCACAAAAAAATGTATAATGAATCTGTAAATTGAAATATAATGATAACAATAGTTACCGGATAAACTAAACCGTTTTTATTTGAAAACCCCGAACGACGGTTATCTTACTCGAGTAGGTAACCGAGATCTGAACAATGATGAGTAATAAAACTGCCGCATCTTCTTGCCCACAAAATAGAAAAAAAAAAAAATGAATTAGCCATTAAGTTAGTATCTGAATCGTTGTTTGACGTCAAACTCAATCAGTGGATTCGATCTATCCCGGATTTTGGTCTCATCGCCTCAACAATAAATTCATCATCACTTAAAAGTGATGAGGAAATCGAATCTATAATTTAAGTTATTCAAATCTAGCAATAGGTAAATTCCAAAACAAAAAAAAAAACTATCAGAAATTTCGTCAATAATAACATTGATGAAATTATCGATCTGTAAATCGTTTTGTAAGGAGTTACAGGTACGAATTTGGCTCTGTAAACTATAGTCAGTCGCGGGTTTGCATATAGTTAGTTTACAGGTCTGTAGATAGTACAGAACGTTTGAGCAACGCCCAATCTGGTTTACAGACCTGTCAGCGCGCTAATGGTTTCTGTGTGTCCTTACAGAACGTTAGTGCGACGCGGCCTTACCCGATAATAAATTTACTTATATATATATATATGCGTGTGTGTGTGTGTGTGTGTGTGTGTGTGCGCGCGTGTGTGTGTGTATACGTGAGTAATGCGCATGCGTATGAATGGCGATAGACTGATAAATACCGTAAAGGAAAAAAAAAAAAAGTTCGACATAAATAATTGTCGTCGATCGCGCGCGAATGCACGCGGGTGTAAAATAAGCAATCGAAGAAACATTAATTTCGTTAGCTTCGAGCCGCGTAATACAATAGTTATGCTTGCGAATAATAACAACACGCGCTAGTAAGGAGCACGCGTGATAATCGCCTAGCCGGCGGTTTTTTAATAAACGTTTTTACCGGATTAACGTTAACGAAACGCGGACAAGAAAGAGAACGTTACGCATCGGAACCTTTAGGAAAATCGCGTTTGGCCCATTAGCCGATGACGGCGACAAGTCCGCCGACTCGTATTATTGTTGGCGGTCGTCCAAACTATCGATTAACCCGATCTCCGCGTCGGCGGCCAGTGACTAACAGCGTAACGCGTTAGGCCGACTGGACCTAACCTATAACCTAATGGGGGCGTACGAAAAAAAAAAATGAATAATACAAAACAAAAACATATCCGCGAACCGGGTGCGGGTCACGCGCGCGTGCGAAAACCATCGGGAAAACTTGGCGAACGTACCTACCTCTGTATACGGGTATTATCGTGTAGGTATTATAATGATATCGTACTTGTACTATACCTATAAGGATACGAAATAATTTACTATTATTATTATTTTTTTATTGTTATTGCTACTGCACGTTGCTATGTACAGTGTGCGCGAAATGATTGGAGGGGGGCGGGGTTCTTTAAGTTAGGTTATCCCGGAACAAAGTAAAAAAAAAAACCACGCCGCGTTGAGAAACCCATGCCGCGACTTGTTCTCTTGCACGAAAACTCGCGTTACAACGAAACACTATCGTGCCTCGTCGATGGCGGGTCCAACGGTCTCGCCACTCCCCCCTCTCCGCTCAGACACCAATAACTCGGATCAATATCCCTCATACCGTACATAAGTTTTCACTTCCGCAAGTAATTAACTGTTGAACACGTAATTAATACAAGATTTTCGAGGAAGGAAATGGGAGAGAAGCGATGAATGTATTGATTGTATTACGATGTATTTTTCATTTTTCTTTTTCCTGTCTGGGAACGAATTTTCTACCAGAAATCTTAATCCAATCAAAAAATAAGCTATCGATGGTTTATCGGTGCTCACAGATATAAATTAAATAACCTTATGTGTCCTACCTTGTCAACATCCCGCCTGCAACAATGGCTGCACCCCAAGCCCGTCGCCAGGGTACGAGCATATCGTGCGTTGCTTTAGGGCGGCACACAATTTTAAAGAAATCGAAGAGACGACATTAAATTAACTATCGTCAAAAAATACAGTAATAAAAAAAATTACGTAAATTAATTTTTGTAAATAATATAAATAATTAAACGGCAACGGTTCTTCGAATTGTCTCCAAATTTTTAAATTGTATTTCCATTAAAACGACCACCTTAAGTAGTAAAATATTTCCTCTAGTTTAAATACCAAATGTTCGGTAAATATTTGTTTTCTTACCGGACAAAATGGTTATTCCGATATCTTAATTTTCTATAACCGATTGCGTTTTGCTCGTTTATAAAGTGTGTATTCAATTTATTGAAATAAATTTAAAAAAAAAAAACGACGGACACACTTCGTACGTCACCAGCCACTGTTGTAGACGGGAAGTTAGAAAAGTATAATACAGACGAGAATTTAATGTATATCTGTATGCGATATATTACAACAACGATAAACCATTGCTAACAAAAAAAACAAACAAACGATTCCTCGCGGAGTTCACTTGATATTGATGCTTTGTCCACAATATATATGTCATATTCTGATAAAATGGTTTACATATGCATTAAACAGTTTCATTAAAAACATTTGTTTCTTATTATTGTACATATTTTATCGGTACTCCGTTTTTTCCAATATACCGAGTAAACTGCTAAGAAAATCGAATAACGACCTCCCTAAAGTACTTCCCAAGTCCGATTTCCTTTCAGGAAAATTGCTATCGTAGTAAATCGGAAGGGCTGCGTAGAAAATATGTGCACGGATCTACTACATGTTTGTAAAACCATAGGTTTCTTCACTCTACTCAGAATCTCAAAAAAAAAAAAAAATACAGCAGTATTATATAAAATGTGTTGCTGTGTATGTGTAATGTGCATAACATAAAAAATTAATTTACCTTTTTTGACGGCTAAATATTCATTACAACTGACAAAACTGTTGAAATCGTACTTGATAGATTTGAATATTGAAAACGTATTGATAAAGTAATTACAATTCTTCAAATACTATGATACGCTTGAATTACTTTTTAAATATTGTTTTTCTTTATCGTTAATAAAAATCGAAATGATTTACGTAAACATTTAAACATTCTTTTCAAAAATCCAATCAAATTTTTTTACGTTTTCCAGATAAATAGTTGGCTGTATTTTTGTTTCTAACGTGTCCTATAGTAAATAACCTAAAAATTTATACTACGTTTCAAAAATTTAAAACCGCCATACACAACTCCAACCATTTTGTCTGAGTTTTAGTTCTGGGTCGATTAAAATGTATACACCGTCATCGTTCTCCTTAAAACAATTCAAATTATATTTATTTAAGAAAATGAGAATGATTGAGTTATTTTCGTGGTGTGACTACGTTATGCGAATCAGTAAGATTTAACTTAAATACTTTTTGACTTGGATACTTTTCAACGTCATTTAATGCTGTCGTCCCGTAGCTTTGGATTGGTCGCAAATAAATTATGGTGGGAGAAGACAGTGAATTTTGAAAATAAAATGTTTTCCACCAAAGCTACAGACGATATTATAATATAAAAACCATTATACCCACCCATCTGTTGCACCGGTCCATGCCCTATTCTAGTTGAAAATCCTTGAAATAAAATCCGATTGCTAATAGTTTTTTTTTTTTTTTTTATAATCATTCGTTACAGATTTTGTTCGTCGGCGGTCGCTACGGAAAATCGTCGAAAATTTGAAGCGTTTAAACAGGTAACGTTCTTTTAATATTTTTTTTGTCAGGTTTAACTATGGGGTTTTTTTTTTTTTTCGTTGTTGTTTTTATTCCGTCTGTACGATATTCAAATAAATACAATTTTAATAATACAAACGCCACGCGTTCGTGTACTTTTCTACCGGAACTGCGGTTTTCGGCAGTGATATTATTTGTTCTGTCCGTGATATTCGCAAACCGGCGGAATTAATAAATTATAGTAGACGCACGATTATCGGCTTATGATCTCCAATATAGAAACGAAATTAGACCGTTCGCATTTTTAAGTCGGGCACCCGCCTATAAATCAATCGTAATTTATTCGCAGACTCGTTTTTGGCATTGCAGAGCTAGAGAGACATGCCGAACACTGCGCGTCACGCGGTCGTAATGGTGTTTTTCCCGATTTTACGAATACCCAACGTAACCCGTGTATCGATATTATTGCACGAGTATTACACTATACGGTTCGCGTTAAAAAAATTATAATATCGAGCGAAACACTCGATGTCACACCCGCCGATGCTGTTGCTGTCGACACACGCGCGTGTACCTTATACATTATTATAATCGCATTAATTTTTCGTCGGCGAAAAAAAAAAAACAAAAAAAACGTACCTACATAAATCAATGCGGTAACAACGAAAAAATTAGGGAATTCTCACTTTGTGAACCGGGAGGCGTTGTAATTACTGGTTCCTATATCGTGCGCGTATACGTTGTTTGGTACACACCCAATGATCGCATATTAATTTATTTGATTCGTATTTGTGTGTTTCTCATTTGGTTCTTTCTCCTTCTCGGCGATTCACGCTATATCCTTTAGCCGTGTAGTATTCGTAATCGGTATTTTGATTTTTCATCATTCTCCGGCTTTTGGTTATGGGGGGGGAAAAAAAAAAAAAAAAAAAACGTCAAAACATCGAAAAACCTTATGTTTACACGCCCTCGCGGATACGTAATCCGTGGTCAAATTCTAGATTTTTCTGTTTTCACAACTCACAACAAAAGTAGCACAAACGTACACATATTTCTTATGAACAACTGAAATACCTAATGAAGGAAGGCCAATTATTTAAGCGAAACGAGAACATTTTTTTTTCGGTCAATCCTTATCAGTCCAATAAGTTCGTCCCGGTTTACCGAAAATTAAATAAAATAATTTTTCTGTTTTGGTTATTTTTTTTTTTTTTACGGGTAGTTTTCTAAACCTATACTAACAAAATGTGACATCTCGAAGGCGGTGACGTAACTAAAACTCCTAATGCCCGTGGCAAAAATATATCTCCCCGCGCAGAAAGCGTTGCCGGCAATGCTCAAAATAAAACGGACGCATAAAAAAAATGCTATGCTGAATATCTTGAAAATTCATTTTAAACACCCAAAGCGAAACGGCCAATTAGCAAAAAGAAAAAAAAAAAAAAACGATCGGTTTTCACACACTCGCCACCCACGTAAACCCGACGAACAAAACAACGGGGGCGNTAAAAAAAATGCTATGCTGAATATCTTGAAAATTCATTTTAAACCCCCAAAGCGAAACGGCCAATTAGCAAAAAAAAAAAAAAAAAAAAAATTAAATTGTACGTGTACACGGCGGCGCACTCTCGCGCGCAATCGACGATTGCTAGTGGCGCGCCCTGATCCGTGCCGGGGGTCCGATTCACGCGGTTCGGAGGATAAGAGAGAAAAAAAAAAAAAACGATCGGTTTTCACACACTCGCCACCCACGTAAACCCGACGAACAAAACAACGGGGGCGCCGCTTGTTTTTTTTTTATTCGACTGTCCGTCCGCCGAAAAATAATATACCCCGGCGTCACGGGCCCGCGGCTCGACGGGTCGAAACGCGTTTATGCGTTTCCAAACAACATAACAACGGTAACCCGCGCGACGGCGTACCGCGCGTTCTTATCGCGCGCACCGCAATAGTCATTCGCGGTGATAATATCGTCAGCCGCACAACCGCGACGCTACGATATTTCGTATTTGGCCGTTACGGTTCCGCTGAACTGACCGCGGACGGAATCCGTTTCGCGCAGCGCCGCGATCGTTCGGCGGTTAACGCCGTCGACAAAACGGACCGCCGTTTCCCCTACCCGTTCGTTTACGCACTGCGGCGATAATATTATTACAACAGAAGTTGTTCGGCGGAATCGTAACGACAAATGGTTCCGAGTATACGACCGAAAAGGTTTTAAAGTGAATACGAGTATAATGTACAGCGTAATGTATCGTTTGGTTTCTTGTATTTTTTTTTTTTCCCCCTCCTCCATATTCCCCGCCCCCACCGGTCCGAGGATCTTTAAACGATTATTGCTACGCTTATACACTCGGTTTTATAAAGTTTTCTTATAATATACAACTGCAACACGATTATTAAATTTTTTTTTTTATTATTATTATTATTATTATTATTACGATTATTCCACCGCCGCACAGAGAAAAAGCCGTTTCGCGAAATGATAATAATAATGACGTCTAGCGGGGTGCGGCGCGCTCGCGTTATTATTTCTTCTTTATGCGATTTGACTGCCGCCCGCAATTTTTATGTCAATAGTTTTTTTTTTTTTTTTCGGCAACTATATATATGTATATATATATACACACATTAATAAATATACGCGTATAGTACCGCGCCCTGGTGTCCGAAAAATCGTGTCGGGGGTCGTTTTTCTTTTTTATCGGTCAAAATCGGATGCTCCAGATGGTTCGCCGAAAACAAACACGATAAACTCGCTCCGTCCGGGGTACCCCGCGTTGCGCAACATAACGCGACGGCGGATCGAAGTGAAACGCGACACTTAAAACGGACGGCATGCCTCCTAGTCGCGCGCCTATATCGGATATCCGAGTTCAATAAAAGAATGTCGTTGCGTTTCGTTATTATAAAATTTTCGTATTTTTCAATTCCCGGCTGCTCCGGTTTCGATAATAGGCCGGCCTCGGTATAATGAGCAGCAAAGACCATCGCGTTTCACGCCCGATCCTCCTCTATCCGATGGCCGTCCATATCCCTCCCTCTCTCCCGGATTACAAATACACGCGGTTCGATATTTCGGGACATCCCAATACGGCCGCGGGCTGTGTCCGGCCGACCGGAAGCGTCATTATATAAGCTTTTTCGTAGCATTTCGGTTATTTTTTTTTCAAGTTCCTGCGTACATTTTCAACGGTTTAATGGTTTTATTGGTTTCGCAATGACGTATACAGGCCGTCTCACGAATATACGTCCCTCGAGGCCTTTTTTTTTTACTCACAGGGACGAAGACTACAAATATTTATATTTGAATTAATTTTTTTTTTTTTTTTATTAAAAACATTTAAAAAAATAACTTTTTGTTTTATTATTTTCGGAAAATGTTCAGATAGCTATTATGTAGAGTTTCTTTTTCTGAAAGTCTGAATGTATCACACATTTACATCGGACGAATAGTTTCTAAATAACAGCCGTTTCGAATTCTCCTAATCCCTGTGAAAATATATGACATTAAAGTTTTCGGAAAATAATAAAATAAGTTAATTTTTTCAATTTTTTTAGTAAAAAAATTGAATTCAAAAATAAATATTTGTAGTTCTCATCCATGTGAGTAATATACAAAAAAAAACAGAATTTAATTATCATTATTATATCCGGAGATATTCAAAGGGTATATCTTCGCGGGACAACCTGTGTATATATTTTTTTCTAACAACTTTTCTACTTTCGCTCCGAATTTCATGTTTTTCAAAGGCCGTAATAATTACGGTTCGAAAATAATACATTTCGTATATTTTCCCGTTTTTTCTACGTTTTTTCTCGGTTTTTACTATTTCCTATAAAAACTCCTAGGTAAATCAAAACGACCCCTCTAAATGACCACTTCACTCAGATTTCCAATCAGAAAAAGCGCTACACTTAAAAGTAATAATAAAACAAACATTATTGTAAAACCGAAATTCCTCATTCTCCGTTCAGAAACTAAAATTATTTTGTTTTTATCTAGAGAAAAATACAGTTATCTTATCTAGATTGTCAAGTTGTTTTTTTTTTCTGTTACAATCAGTCAAAATGTTGAATACATAATAAAAAAAAAAATACTAAGGTCGTATACGTTAATACTCTGATCGTGGTTTTCTTGCTCTGATCATTTATTTAAATTAAAAAAAAAAACTTAAAATTAAAATATAAAAACAAAATAAATATTTAAAAAAAAAAAAAAACAATACGCGATACTTACAACATTAACTTATTGACGTACAAGTTATATCGCTTTAATACGTGATGGCAATTGCACGTTGAAACGTAACAATAATACTATCTATTTTGGCTGCTGAAATTGCGCAGAAGCTATTGTACCTATATGCAAGGCAGTGGGAATAATGAATTCATGAAAATCTAACGTTCGACGTTTCGGCGCGATTGTATTATTTACTTCACGTTATGAAGTATTCCGGTCTTCAAAACACACCTGGCTATTTAAAAAAAAAAAAAACTATCGATACGTTTTTCGTACGGCTCTGTCGACACGTTTTCTCGTTTAAAAATAATATAGAATTATTATCGCGATAAAAACGCGCCGTCACGACCGACTGGGTGTTTAATGTTATCGCATTACGCCAGTAATAGTCGATTGTCGGGGGTGAATTCGCTAGCGCTAATATTTATTGTTCGAGTAAGTTGCTTTTCTGGCACCGACGAGCGACGATTACTGCGCGCACATCACACGTAAACCGGATGTTTATACCCGCGTCTACCGTCTCAGCCCAAACTGCCGGGTAACGTAACATAAACAGTGCTTACACAGAACAAGTGAAATTAAGCTTAGTTTTGATTTTGAAACAAAAGTGCCAATTATGAAATGCGCGGGGGAAAAAACGGGTGTTTTTTCAATTGCGAACCGTTCGAAAAGTAACAGTTGTTTAAAAAACGATTGGACACTAGTCGGTGGGTATGCGCAACATTGTTCGGCCAATAACCCTCCCGAAATCCGTCATAATCTCTGAAAGGACCGAACGGGCCTCGATTCGTACCGGTAGAGTATGGATGATGGACGGTAAAGGTAGGTAAGAACAATGTTGTAAGGGTACAATCTATTGTAGCCGCGGGTAACAAACCTAGACGTTCCAGTCTGTACGGGGAGATAGAATAATGATAATATAAAAAAAAAAAACACCGACGTAGGTATGCAATACAAACAATTATTAAGTATTATAGAATATATCCGCGTAATAACGAATGCACAGTTGTACGTTGTTGACCACAAAACAAAAACAACGTCTTTGTAAAACCATAAGCTTTTTCGTTCCACTCGGAATCTAAAAGACGTATTTGTAAAACACGTACGTTCCGAATAAAATATAAGAAAACTTAAATACACTTGCTTCCTTTGATTTGCATCGACCGCCGACGCCCGTCGGTAAAATAAATGTCGAATAACATCTGCAACGAAACGAACAGCGACTTAAACGTATAGTCTTTCAGTAAAAGCAAACAAATTCGGCTTAACCGTTCGTATTTAAATTTGATTAGATGGGTACTCGGCCACTTAGCGTGACCATAACGTGTTCGTCTTAGGGGTACACAAGTCTTGGGCACTTAAATACCGTTTTATTTTTTATTTTTTTGTTATCGCGTACAATTTTATCTTTATATAACATTGTATACCCTTCCGCCTTACCCGTCCGGCTTTTTTTGTCGTTGTTGTTGTTGTTGTAAACAAAATAACCGTAGAGACCTGAAATTTTCAGCGAGTTCTCAGACCACGTCGGCGTTCACTGGTCGTGATGTAATTTCCAAAATACTTTCGAGTTGTTCGCGTAAACCGTACGAGGCATTACGGTTTTCGACCGAATGATTTATTTCGAAAATGCGACACAGCGTAATCGTGTACGAATAACATAATTACGTTACGACAACTTTTAGACGTAAACCCGAGACGAAAAACAACAGTATTGCGTGGGGGGAGGGGGGGGGTGGCAATCTTTTACAATGCGTAACGATAATCGGGAAACCGTCAACTCGGTCTGTCGTGCCCGATATTATTATTTTACCCCGCGCAATAATGTCGCCCGCGCGAAACCCCGTACATTTCAGCCGTTTCAAGCGGATTTTCACGCGCGAAACGATGAACGCACAGTTTTTGCGTTGCGTTTCGCCCTTTCGCCAACTCGCGGATTTGTCGGGTTAGCCCGAATCCGCGGTTTCGTAACGGTGTTTTTTCGGCCTATCCGCACGTTCAACGTACCCGGACCCTCGCGTCCGAATCGAAATTCGGCCGTTCGCGTTCTCCGAACACGCAATCGCTCGCTTAAATTATGTATAAAAAAAAAAAAATAAATATTTAAGGTAGGCGTGTTACTCGGACAAAAAAATTATATAATCGGACTTGTTTACGAAAAATGTTTTCCGCGCCGCCCGTAATGTACGTTTAGGAGTTTCTGGAAAACGGGTCGTATTTTTCGTACCTTTACGGCCGTTGGTATTTTTTTTAAGTGTTCTTAAATGGCACGCTACCCGGCGCCAGTGACACTATTACGGGCACAAAGAAGAAAAAAAATAAACCCGTTGTTTTTTTTTTTATTTCCATTTCCATTTCCATATTATAGTTTATTGGTTTCGTTGTTTTTCTTTTCTAAGAAAAGTGATAAGTAATTTTCGTTTTCATTCGCCTTATATTGCCCTCCTTGCGTATGACAATACGCGAGTCTACTCGGGACAGTAGTATTTTTTCAAAGCGGCTTAAAAACATTGGAAAAAAAAAAGGAGGAAAAACTTTTTACGCGTATATACACACGTTTACATAATAACGCGCGCCCGGCCAAAATTATCTAGTTTAAAGTATGTGCGGCAATAATTTATACCGGACGGCTACCAGCTATAATACAGCCACTGTATTATAATAATAGCTTTTAGAGCCCGCCTAATGAATCGGACGTGTTTTCAAATTTTTTTTTTTCTTATGTAATAATTGCTTTAAAAAAAACAATCCGAATCCGAAACAAAAACGCATTATTAACAGTACTCGTCCGCATGCGAATACTCGCAATATAAATACATTTGTTAAATTGGCGTTGTTCGCGCGTTCCGGCATAATATTCTGTTATCGTCAACCGACCGCGGGTCTGTTGTTTAGTGGATTTCGCCGTGTACGCGCAACCCCGGCGTTTCGCCCCGCCAAAGCGACCGGGCGACGCGAGAAACGGGGCTCGTTTTGCTCGTTTCGCGGGACGAAAAACGGCCGCGCGTCACTGCGTCTATACCGCGAGTCGTTTCACCGTCGGTAATTACGTTGACGGCGTATCGAGTCGCACTGTCGTCCGTAACAGTTTCGGCGTCGGTGCGATTAAATAATGGGCGACGAACGTTGAAATTCCGGCGCTACGTTTTATCGGATTTGAAAAGTTCGAATTTGAGGGAATTTAAAAAAAAAAAAAAAACAATGACAATTGATACCGATAATGGCAACAGAACGGTAATAGAAATCGCACAGGCACGTGAAATAGTTAAATAATCGAACGACGCCGGAGGTCCGGGTGAATATCGGTCGCTCGGATATCGATTCGGTGCGCTGGTCCGGCCTTGTTATCTAACGGTTTGAACACGACGACACGAAACAGGCGGGTAAATTGTGAATCGCAACAAACAATTACCGCGCGTAAACAAAACGAACAGCGCGCTCTTCTCGGATGATAACGTTACGATCGCGATCCGCGGTAGGACATTATTGTGCGTTTAACGAACGTCTGAGAAACGAAATAAAAAAATAACAATAATAATAATAATATCACCCGGTCGCGTATCGCAATGCCAATAGTACAACAACAGTAGTACGAACGACGGTATTGTTCTGCGAGACGAGCAACCGTTGAAGTGATTCGTTTTTTTACACGACTCGCGCATTGTGATCGGACCCGACTTACGTGTTAATACTCACGCACGTACATTTACCCGAACAATCATGACTCTGATCGTACATTGTATTATGGAACTTGGGAGATGGCGCGCCTATAATAATACTTCAGCGGCGGCGTTCAAACAGAGCGTTCAATGGTTTTCCTTAGGAAACTACAAGAAATATTCCGTTACTCCTTATTTTCAACCTATCGAAATACGGCGTCTAATTTTCGCGCAAGGTGCGCTCCACTCACTGGCATGCGCAATAGGGGGGGGAGGGGGTGTTAACGGTTATAATCCACCCATTGGCTTAGAACTAAAACGACTGTGAGTGTTACGCTGTAAATTTATCTTGAAATTGAACAAAAATCGGCCGTATTTACTTCCGGCTTTTATTGTGTCCAGATTCTACGATTGAATAAATAAATCATGATCGTCTCCTCCCGTTGTAAATTCCTTGGACAGGCCTCTGATTGATACTCGACGCTATGATTCCTATCGGATCTAACAGGTTCGTCTTTTTATATTATTAGGGACATTTTCCATTTTAATAATAAATCCTACTGTAAAAAAAAAAAAAAACGATAACAAATTTCCTATAAACAATTGTACATACTCGTTGTACGTGAGATCGTGTGCACATATAAAGGTTTTAGATACGTGACGTTTTTGAAAAAGTGCATCATAGAATTCATAAACGTTGCACGGCCTAAAACAAGTCAAAGACACATTTATCACCTTGGCGCTTAATCTGCTAATAATGATGATCTACGGTTAAAATCAGTGACATGTGAAAAATCTGTTTTCTGTGAAGCCTTTTCCCCGATCGTCGCCATCGCTAAATCACATATTACGAGCTGATCGGGAACGAATTGTAATTATGAGTTATATTACTTCAAAACTCACTGGTCTGCGGTGTTTAAAATCTACAATCTTACGGTTCCGACGAACCCACGATTCGCCCACCAATTTTAGCTGAAACATTGGTAAAAAAAAAAAAGAAAAAGCAAAGCAGTTCACCACGTTCGCCACCGGTTTATAATATTATACAAAAATACACGCATATCTCGATATTCTTTAGTACACGGAAAATGGAATATGTATACCGTTAAATTATGTATATAAATTATAATATATTACGGAGAAAAAAATAGGTAGGTAGTAAATAGTGAACGATTGAAATGTTTTTCATATTTGTCATATACTTGAATGTTTTCACGAATAAAACGCATATTCTATTTAAAATCGTAATATTTTGATTTGTTTTATTCGTATTTATCACATTGGGACAGAAAAAAATTTGTTGAGCACTTTCCCGGTAAAAACTACTGATATGTTTTGGTATATTTCTATTTTTTTTTTTTTTTGTCGTATTTATTTATTTTCACTACCGTAATGATAAAACGAGAACGTCTCAACATTAGATCAATGATTTTTTATAATAAAAATGTGATGACGCAAAACAGACGAAATTACATAAAAATTCGTTTTTAAAAATATTTCTTGAAAAAAATACGAAATTTTAATGTATGCAAAATTTTTCCAGAAAAATCTACCCCATGACGAGTTATTACTAACTAAATACTATTTTCGGCCAAATTCGTGTATTTTGAAATGTCGTGATTTTACGATTTTCACCAAAATTTGAACATGAAAAACATCAAACAAAAATGTCTAAATATTTTACAAATTTTTCCACGATTAAAAATTTTCGATAGGCATAAGTTTTCTGTGGACATTTATGATATCTAAGGTTACTATTTTTAACTGGGTTACAGTAAAATAACAAAATCGTAAATAAAGAGACCGATATTTATAGTTTTCCATTACGTTTTCCCTAATAGTAAAAAAAAAAAAAAAATGTAGCAATAAAACGGGTAATTTTTTCCTCGTGTATGATTGAAAACAAGACAAATACCTATACAGGAGACAGATAATGACTAAAGCTGAGATTTTAATTCACCTTGCATTTTTATCAAACCTTGCTGTCCAATGTTCGTTTTGCTACAAATTATCGTTTGATGTATTTTTGATTAAAAGTAAGAAATTGCATTTTAAACTGTTTTACTATTTTTGATTTGTAAATCATTTTTCCATTTCATAGAGCGTTTATGATAGGTGTTTTATTTTAAATTTTCAGGGCGTTACAATAAAAATATATATTATACAATTTTCGGGGGGGGAGGGTGTTCATTAAATTCCCAATTCCTTAACTGTTATATACTCTTGTGCATTTTCTCTAGTACAATTTTTACTGATTTTTTTAACGTTTTCCCCGACAGTTTGGATTCAAATTTTCGATTATCGGACGTTTAAAAATCTTTCTAATTCCGATACAAAGTACCGACGTACGGTTCGCACAACAATATGTTCTTGACGTTTCTCTCGCGAACGGAGTTCCCTTAGCAATAATATTAATAATAATATAATATTCCATCCGAAATCACTTTATTATAACTCCGAGTTTGCCTGCTCGTACTACACGACCCGAAACTACTCTAGGTAGTAAACTAATTACGGATTCGCATAGGTAATACCTATAACCATTACGCCTTGAACGTATGTAACTCTCATCGTAAGTGTTTTAAAAATATTATTGTGCATTGAATATTATTTTTTTTTTTTCTTTTGCCACTGTCTGCGCGAAAACTCGTTTTCTTATAAATTTCGAAAAAATAAAAGCGACTAGAACTTTTTCAATTATGTTTACTGCAAATATTTTGTTTATGCGATATTTCTGTTTACTTTGGAAAAATTAATTTAATGACAACAGTTTTGACTGCGTATATAATACCGAAACCTTTATTGTTATTAATATTCAGTCGGGAATTCTCAAGGTACTTTTATGCAAGATTAAAACTGAAGCGTTTCTCTCTCTCTCTCTCTCTCTCTCTCTCTCTTTCGGCCTAATTCCGTCTCTGGGTCGTGATAATTCCCTTTGCTCCGTGCGAAGTTCAAAATTGAATTGCGTTAATTGTTAATGTAATAAATTCACGATCGTACAAAAAACTATGTAAACTGAGAAATGTCGACGTTTTCAACAAACGTAAAATAGTTACGGTGGAGTCACCACCTATGGCCGGTACCACTGTCAGTGGCTTGGCAAAGGGATTTTAAAGATGGGTGTGAATAAAAAATGGAAACCTACTTTGGTAGATAGTTAATTGAATCAATGGCATTTTTACAGGTGACAAATACATAAAAGAAGGCGGGGATATTTTGAGCATTATCGTTCATAAATGTTCGTAGATCCACTGATCCCTGCAATAGCCACTCATATTTTATTTTATTCGTAAACAGTGTAAATTCGTAATTGTATATACCATCTATGGTTATTATTTTAATAATCAATGTTAACGCATCGGGCGATATCGGTTAGTGCGAAAACATATGTACCGCGGTGTATAAACGGCATTGGCATGGCTGTAGAACGGGACAGTGTAATTTTTAAATTAAGAATACAAATCTTTCGTAATCTTTTTTTAAGACTTTGACATTTTCTAAACTGTATGTAACGGTAAACGTGTGATTTATGTTTATGGTTTAGTTTTGATATAGCTGTCTATAGTCGTAGACGGATTAAAACCAAATATTAATAGAATAATTAACATTAATGTCTTTTAGGCGCGTGAAATAGAGCTTTCCGTTTAAAACTCTAATCTAATCACATAAAATACGATCAAAGACGGTTTAAGGACGCGATACGAAATTAGAACATTCGAAGACGGTAATATCACACTCGATTCTCACCTCCGTCCGACGCCATTTTGTGTCGCGTAACTAAACGTAGATGATATTAAACTAATATATTACGGTAAAGGCTTATACGATTTCCACTGGGTTTGTGTAAACGCCAAAAAGTTTACGCGGAAATAACACACTCGTAATATGATGATAACGCATTATAGTATATTTATAGTTTCGAATGTCTTTATTTGATAGTATTTTTTTTTTTTTACTACGTCTCTATATTCGTTTTATATTTGGTCCCGTATCTGTAAAGTTCCACGTGTAGATATCTTCGTTTTCGAGTTATGTATACAGGCAACTGCAATATTGTAATAACGAAAATTGCGTGTGATACTGCGTTTAAAAAAGAGCTGATACCGGGGACATGTGTGCCACTGTCGCAGGTGGGAAGCTGGGAAGGTAGGACGCATAAAGTTACTTATTATTATTGATGCATATCTGTGCGAAACGATTAACCATTGCTAACGTACAGCGATTCCGAGTAAAACGATAAACAATATATGCGTCATATGGTAAAATAATTACGCATGCATTAAATATTTTCTTTAACAAATTTTTGTTTTTACTGTACCTATTTTCCCGTGTTTTTCCGTGTTTTTTTCCCGGTTTTCCTTATTTATTATGAAAATATGGGAGAGTCAAAAAAAAAAAATGATCTCCTTAAAGTGCTGCCCCAGTTAAATTTTCTTTCAGAAAAAGTGTAGCACTTGAAAATCGAATCAGAATTACTGGTACAACAGTCATTCATAGATATATATATAAAAAAAAAAAACATCATTTTAAAACCAATACATTCCTCACTCCGCTCAGAATCTAAAATGTACCAAATGTAAATTTACATGGTAAAATTCATATTAAAAATCAACCAAAATTGTATCATATGTACGCCTACCTATGAAACGCAATTGTCTCTATTTAAATATAAATTTGATGGAAAAAAAAAAAATAAAAAAACAAGGGAAGAAATTGATGCACTGTTGTTTTTAAATAAAAATAATGTACACTAGTCTTTAGACCGGAAATTTTTTATCAAAACGGAAATTGAACGTACTTACTTAATAGGTAATCGTGTGTAGGAATATGTTACGATTGCCGCTATATTGTCTGTTAGTTGAAATTGTTTAAACACCTAATATTTGTTATTATTTGCAATATATTTTATTTAAAATAACTGTACATTTAATACGAATAATATATGTATTTTATAGAAAGTTAATACATTAATGTATTTCCCGCGATCGTGAAATACATTATAATTATTATTAAAATGTTTTGAACCGAAAGGTGTCATTTTTTTTTTTTTTTTTTTTTCTCTCCGCGTGACAAATTATTCGTAGGTACCGAACAAACCGCTTTTATCCATTATACAGGCGTATACCCTCTACGCAGGTATACGTACGAAAATATTCAGACATCCGTTCTGAATTTGTAATGAAGTTTATATTATAATGTGACAAAGTGGTGAACAAATTTACGAAGGTCTCTTTACAGTTTTTTTTTTTTTTTTTTTTTTCGGTAAATTATATAAACGTTCCAATTTCAAGTAGGTATACACCGCGAACGGTCGTACCGCTTCTATATAATATTATAATCGTTTTAAATAAATAAAAAAAACCATTGAGATAAATGCTTAGTTTAAAATAAATGTCGCTATATATTATGTTATAAGATGTTTTTTACAAGTATTATTTTTTATTCTGTAATTAAGCGTAGTTTTTTTCGAATATTTCGGTTTCGCTTTATTATGGTGGCGTGTGCTTTCATCGACATCACGAGTAGAATTCCGGTAGCCGAAATATGTGATCTAATACAAAATTAGACGTAATAAGATTAGAAGTACTCGTAGTTGTCGCGTATCTTTTCCTCGCTACTCTTGGACAAGTTTAGCAGGTCTCGTTGGACCAAATAAGCTCGAACTGGGGAATTAGAATTGCTTTACGGGTGAATTAAAGTGATACCTGTTGAATCGAATTTAAATATAAATTTCACCGTCTTTTTGCGATAAAATTATGTTACTTTTAGCTTACGACCACTCTAAATGAAGCTATGGGGAAATTACATTTTGTGTATTCATTATGCACAAAATGTCATCAAAGATGTATTGAAATGTATTAATGCTTTTTGGAGATTTCGAATTCAAATCCCGACCCCTTCCATTTGTATGATCAAACGTCATGGTTTCATAAGAAATACCGGGTTTTAAATACCTCTAAAAACTAAAATGTAATATTATACATAGTAATGTGATACTCGAATAGTATTCGGTTTTTATTATTTTAGAAATATTTATTTTTTACACAGTTTCTATTTCTATAGCACAAAATATCTAAATGAGAGAAAATTCGGCTCTCGTAACAGAGCTCTTCTGCTCACATTATTTGTAATTGTTGACAAAAGTCCGAAAAACGGGAATACAATAACTGTTATTTTTTTTTTTTTTTTTTTTTTGTAATTTAACGAGAAAATAATCGAAGAGACTTGTAACTTCCATCCAATGTATATATAATATATGTTTGTTTTACAAACATGTTTTGTTTTGTGTTTTTGTTTTACATATACATAACAAATTCAAAATTTTCTAGACATGGTGCAATTTCAAAAAAAAATCTGGCTGATCTTGAGTTATATTTATAGCTATTCGGAATTTTCGAGTTTAATCATAAAAAAAAAATATGTCCTTAGATAATGAAGACGGATGCAGTCAATTTTATAGGTAATTTAATGTGTGCCTGTCAGCACGGATTAACCATTGATAACGAAAAAACGATTCTAATAGTGATAGTTGATAGTGATGCTCTATCAACAAGATACATGTCATGTTATGGTAAAATAATTAAATAGGCATTACATATTTTCATTAATAATATTTGTTTAATGTTGTACCGGTTTTCCCGTTTTTCTTACGTTTTTCCTCCGTTTTTTTTTTCGGTTTTTCATATTTGTTGAGAAAACTCCTTGGGAAGATCGAAAAATGTAACTCACCTGTAAGATTTACTCTCAGAAAAAGTGCTATAATTATAAATCGGAGCGAAATTGCTGGTAGAAAAAGTTTTTGAATAAAAGAAAAAAATAAACACCTTTGTAAAACCACAAGCTTCTTCGCCCCACTCTGAATTCAAAATAGTTTTATTTTATTGTTTTGATCAACATGTAGAACGCGAATTTAAATACGATAAAATCCGTTGAAAACACGAACAATACGATAATTTGTATTGTTATAAATTAATGTGATTTTCAATTTAAATCTATCGATCAGTACTTACCGGGATTCGCTCAGAATCGTTTTTTGTCAGCAGTTATTTTTCGTATGCGTCAGCATAAAAACTACCGCTTTGTACGTTCGGGTGTCACCTCGAAAACAGCATTTTTTTTTTTTTTTTTTCCTTTTTCACATCTCGATTGCGACCCGTACAAAGCATGTGTAGGAAACGTGGCGGTTATTAAAACTGAATAAACATCTCAATTCACGTCCTACTGATATTAAGTACGTCGATATAAATGTGACACAGCGAAACTCACGCAACAGCGAACAGAATTCGGCGCGAATGGCGCTTTCCAGTTCGTTAACGATAGGAAAACGGATACGATTGCGGATACACCGCAAGGTCGCGAAGCTAGTGGCACGCAGTTGTGTACTGTTGCGCTGCTCTTGCCTAGGTACCGCTTTAGTGTCAGCGTTGTTCGGCTCATAAAAAGTACCGGGAACGGACGTTTTTCGGAATTTAAACCGAAATAGATGAGCCGGTATTACAATAATATTCGACTTTAAATTTCGCTTTCTTAAAAATGTTGGCGAATGAAAATTATCGGAATGCCGTTCAAACGGTACGACAACGACATTTTCAAGAGCGAAAGTAAATTTAACGTTAAATGGCCGTACAGTCTCGAATCGTGTATTGTGCGAACCGATAATGAAACGACAAAAAATACGTAATAATACCGAGGAAAACGCTACCGGGAATATTCGTGAGCCACTGCGTTAAATATAGTTGGTGTGCGTTCGTTTGTAGTTTTACTAAGACTGATCAAACGCCCGTATAGTGGCTAATTTTAGATCCTGAATGGAGCGAAGAAGCTTATGGTTTTACAATGACGTTTTTCTTTTTTTTTTTTACTATTCTGTGAACCACTTTTCTACGAGAAACATTGCTGCGATTTACAAGCGAAGCGCTTTTTCCGGATGAAACCGGGAAGTTACTTTAATGATGTAATTTTTGATTTTTTTTTTCTCAGTAGTTTTCCCAATATATCGGAAAAGACTGAGGATAAACGGGAAAATGTGCGAAATGTGTGGAAACGCTGGTCATGCCCACGGCGCGAAAGATGAATTAATTTCTATTTTTTTCGTTTAATATCGTTTAGTTGAAATTAACAAACCAAACGTATTAAACAATCAGCTCTCAATTAGCTAATTATAAATCGTGTTTGTAATTTGGCGTGAGTTTTTCGGCAAAAAAAATAAATACGAAATATTCGAGTAAACATAACCGACAGAACGGCGAGATTTGTTTACAAATTACGAGACAGTACGCGCATTGGCTTTTAAAAACGAAGACGATCGCGCTTTTCCTTGCGGTCCGCGAGCCGTCCCGTATGTTCGGACGTTCGTACCGCGGTGATATTTATGCAACACGACAAAGGCGGCGTGTTTGCAGCGAAACGCGCGGCCGATTGGCCGTGTTAAATTGTATTAATTGTTATTATAGACGGCGAACGATTAATTAAACAATTATTTTTTTTTTTTTTCTGTTCAAATAATACTAATTGAACGCAACACGATTAACAATCATCAGTCGGTAATTGACGGTTTAATCGGATTAAACGCGTATTTTACATTCGAGTTTAAACCGACGGTGTGCGCCGACTAACGCGTACGGCCGACGAGTCGAGCGCACGCCACAATATAAACAGTCCGATGTCGAAAACTACTCGGCGAGAAACGCGCGCGAATGCGTTACCCGTGGGTACGCCGGTACACGATAGTCGACGGAGGGGGGGAGGGGGCTCGTCTAAAAAAAGGGACGCGGAACGCGGAGTGTTCGATTCCCTCCCCCCCTCCCGACTTCCCATCTCTTTCCCGTCGTCCCCGAACAATCGTTGATCGGACAACATTGCTGCGCCATGTCCCGCCGTACGTCAAATTATTATCGCGTTATCGCGTTTGTCGCGGACGTTTTGATAACGCGTGCGAGTAGACGGGGAACACTCCGCCGGGAAAAAAACGATAAATTCCATTTGCGCGGAAGAAAGAAAACAAAAAAAAAAAAACATTTCGAACGTTTTTTCTGCCGTGACAAGCCGCACGATGCCGCGGTGCCGCGCTCGCGCGCGTCGCATTTGATCGTAAAACGGCCGTCACTCCTGGTCCGGTTGCGGTTCCGCCGACACCACCGCGCGCCCCTCCCGTCCGTTTTTCCCGGCTAAAACGCTCCGTCTCTGGTCTTCGCGTTCCACCGACGACGACGCGCGCGCACACGAGAACCCCGTCCTCCGGCAACCCTGCACGTCTGTCCGCGCGCCGCGCCGTCACCTCGGAGCCGTAACGCCATCCCGGACAACGCGCGTCGCGGATAACGGTCGCCGTCGTCGTCCGGTATGAATGGAAAAAAAACAAAAAAAAAAACCAAAAGCGTCGCCATTTTTCACGCGGCGAAATCTTCCGTGAAAATCAACGACTCCGTCGTAAACGATATTCGGCACCGCGCGTTTGACGATTTACCCTCCGGGGTACGCGACAATGATTGAAATTCGCCGTTTTTTTTTCAAATTTCATTGTTACGCCCGTTTACCGCCGTCGCGTTGTTTATTATTCCGCTCCGTGTTGGTTTTCGGTTTCGGCCGTGTCCGACGAAAACGAATGGGCGGAAATCGGGCGGCCGGTCCGCCGGCTATCGTGAAATTTCAATAGCGCGGACAATTGTCACGAATAACAATAATAACGGGTTTCAATAGTCTTCTGTTCCGCCGCGGCGACCGTCGAAACAGACGAAAGTAAAAACAGACGAGCGATCGTTGCCCGTTCGTACCGGGGACATCGCCGAAAACCCGCGTTCCGCCCCATCAGGAGGGTTTCCGTGACCCTTTCTCGTTGAAAGCATTTGGAGGAACCGCTGTTTCGAATTTCGAGCGCGTACGTGAGACACGAGCGATCGGCGGCATTCGGATTTTGTACACACACGTGGGATTCGATTACACGGATTCGATCAGGCGTGTGCGGTTTGCGCGATTGTACTGACCGCGTAACGATAATGTTGGGCCGTGCGATTCCGGGCGGGACTGTAGATTTGATTTGCGTCTCGGGAGATTATTCGAGTGTTATTATGACGGTCGAATCTCTCCGCGCGGTTAATTTATATCTACTGCGCGAACGTATTATACAGTCTATAAATACAGTCGGTAATTTTTTGGCACCTGAAACTGTACTGCGCGGTATGCCGGGAGTTTCTACTGTAAAAAAAAAATACCTATAACCATTATTGTTTATTACGTATTGGCGTCGATATTTAGTCCGGCAAAGGATTGTGCGGGGTGCCGTTAATGCAACGGCAATATTAAAAATGTTGCGAAAAACGACAAAAAAAAAAAATCAAGTTTTTCACGATAAAAATAATTGCGCGAAACTTTCACCGCGACATTCTAACAATCCCATCGCAATGTGTATAGGTTACGAAATCGTTCAGTGCTCGCGTGAAAACACGGCGAAATCAAATTTATACGCCGACACGAATTAACAACAAAATGTTACTAATAGCAACAATGCATACTGGGTGATCCGTTTAGGTGGCCGCGCCCGTCGTCTCGGGAAGCATATCTCGGAATTTGTTTTCTAGAACATTTAAAAAACAAACGGCTCTACAATTTTTCACTGCGTTATTTATGTCGTTTTTGTCAACCTTATTTTTGGGAGCATTGGAGCACTATTAACACGCCGCGCACCGTACCACTACGCTAATGATGCTCCGCCAATCTACGAACCCATACTTAAAAGTGGAATATCTCTTAAACGGCTTGTTTTTTCGTGTCACATTTTAGCACACGAATTCAACGGTCACGACCTTACTGGCCTCCTAGAATGGAAAACAGCTTCCCTGACTGATAACCACGAATTTCGAGTGTATCATTTGCCGCGCTAATAAAATATTCTTCATTGTAAATCGATTTATGTTGTAACGACGTTTACGTTTTGGTTGTGCCTAATTTGTAATTTCCGTCTAACCCTCTAAACGAATTTTAATTACACATCAGTGCGCATGTTAACAATGCAAATTTGATTGGTTATACTAATACCCGCAGACACATAATTGCTCCTAAAAATTATCTCAAGTCGCTTGGAGCTCTGTCTACATCTGGTATTTTTATTTTTACAGACAGTCGAATTATTCCTTTACAAAATTTTCTTTCTGAAATAGGTTTCAATATATTAACTTGAATTTACATATTTTTTTTTTTTTTTTACAGATTCAGCTCTTGGCTATCCGGTTCAACATTGCGATATAGAGTCGAGATTATCCGTTTATTAAATTGTTCGTCTGTCAGTACATTAAAATCGATGTTGTCTATCCATCCATAACATTAGGTAAGTAGAGAATAAAAACAGCCTAAAAACGTTCAGTTGACGTATTGTAATTGTACACCGGTGATAGCGTTGTACGCACAATGATCGGACGTTGTATTTCGACGAACGATTTTTTTTTCCCCCCCTCGGACCTAATATTGTATGATTGTATATATTAAATTGATTGACCGGTCAACAATTTTTTTTTTTTTTTTGTTTTTCAACGGCGGCATTTGTTTGGACAAGATGCAAAAAAAAAAAGCCGCGGAGGGGTTATTTTTAACCGCAGGCCACGTCCACTTCAACCGATGAACGACGATTAACGTTCTGGATAAATGCGAATTAATGTCGTCGTAAAAACATTGTTGTACAAAAACGTTTGTCGCGCAATATTCCCGCGGAATTAATGCGTTTAATACGGTTTGCAAATAACCGTATACGAAAATGCGCGGTGGCGACTTAGACGCTAGCAATAAAAATTAATTGGATTACGACGCGAAACAATAATTATAATATAATATAGTACGACTTTTAACATGGCGTATTTTTTTAATTTTTTTTTTTTTTCTTCCGCGCAATAATTTATAACATATTATTATTTTTTATGGTTAAATAGCAGTGTGTACGCTGAGCTTTTAATTTTTATTTTTTCACCCGAGAAAGGAACGGCCGGCTACACTTCGTTAAGTTAATGAAAAAAAAAAAAAAAAATTACAAAAAACAAACGGTTGGCTGAAAATTTACATCAGAATATTGTTTTCGAAACGTCTACTGTCTCGTGATTTATTATTAGCGTTCATTTCGGATGGTTTTTTTATTCGTATTATATTTCTGCGCGTTGCGATTTTGGCACAAATAGTGTATTTTTACCTCGACAATTAATATTGTCGTAATATATTTAGTACACGCCGGTTGTGACAATATTATTAAAACCATACAAATAGAAGAAGAAAAAAAATATATCGCAGAAGCGTATAAATATTGTCAGTATCGTCACAGTCGCTGCAGCAGTACCGTTTCAGCATTTGTCATCTCGTCTGTATTTCTAACGGGCGATATAATAGTAAACAGATGCGTTCACGTGAAACATAAGCGAAAAAACCATTTTAAATCAGTTTTAGAGACAAAAACGCTAATATTGTCGCAGTTTATATAGATGGCGATATTATTTGAAGACGCTTCATCGGCGTTTTTCACAATATTAATCGTTAAAAAAGATATATTTTCCGTAGCTTCGATGATCTGCAACCGGACATTTAGAAAAAAAAAAAAAAGACGCCAACGGCGAATCACGATTATCTAAGAAAAAACCGTACCCATACTATATGTATACTGTTATATGTCTAAGACCGATTTTAAAGACTTTTTCGTTTGTTCTGCGCAAACAAATGTTTACTTAAGTCTTGTCTGTTAGATTGACTAAAAAAAATAATAATAATAAAACGACAAAAAATTCATTGCGATCGTCCTCTTAACTGCAAGGTAATAACTGAAAAAAAATATACAGCGACCCAAAATAAATGCATGCATACGGAAAAAAACGTAGCCCGAAGAACTTTTTATTAATAATTGTGTTTGTATATATTTTTACGACCGGTTCCGATTTCAAAAATCATCGTCGGGCAATAAAACAAAAAAAAAAATATATAAATAAACCGATAACTTGGAAGACGGAAAAATTAAAATATATTGCTACGTGATTACGATTGCGATTGATGACGGTAACGGCGGGATATCCGACGAGGAGTTATGGAGTGTGAATTTATTTGAGTAAAACACGTTGGTCGCGCGGACGGGAAATTAGTGGGTTTAAAATTAATTTGAAAACATTTACAAAAAAAAAAAAAAAAACACTGCAATAGTTGTGCGTAGTGGTTCGTCGGAGTCGAAAACCGGTACTGCTGAAGATCCGCAGCTACACGACTTAAAAATAATTAAATAATTATTAAAATAATTAATGTTAACCGGGAGAAATATCGTAAGAAAATGACTACAATTATTGCGGTTCCGTTTTGAATGATTCGCACGCAGCGTATTGATTGCGAAACACGGTTGCAGAATTCCGGACCCGGCGATGACGGGACGATCGTTTTCCGATATCCGCTGTAGTTTTCTTGATAACGGCGACGGAGAAAATCGAGAAAAAACGGTTTTTTTTATGGAAACGGTTCAGCGTTTTACATTCGATCATCACATTGTCACATTCACCGCCCCGGAGAATATATATTATCATAATATCGGAGACTTTCGATTTTGTTATTGACGTAATATGGAATATAACGCAATTTCGAATTTTGCCGATTGTGCATTCCCTCGAGCAAGGATTGAAGTCGTCGTGCACGCGGCTTGTAACGGTTGTAAAAAAACCAGAGGCGAAGTTACGGTGACCCTAAACTGTTTAAGGTCAAGGGCAATATTGCTTTCGCCTCAACTCATCATCGCCGATCCAATAGTGATAACCGGGCGTAGGGACTTCTAGCCCTGAAAATCACGCGAACACGCATGCGATAATACGGTTTTGAAAAAAAGAATCGAATACGCACTGGGATGCGTTTTGAAAATTCAATAAATGGCCGTAACGGGCGCTTAGACGCGGCGTTTCGCTAATGCGTGTTCTACGGCGGGGGAAAAAAAACATTAAAACACGGACATTCAAATTTAGGATTTAGATTCTATATAGCCCGAAAACAGGATTTCCGTTCGACTCCGCACACTGTGTTCACATAATTCAGTTGATTTTCGACCTCGTTGTTTGGACATTTAAAACTATCGGACATTAAAATCCCGCGCGTGGGCATACAGTAACGACAGCACGTGTACGGGTACCGGACCTCGGAATCCGGACGTTTCAACCGGTAGAACCGACGTGTCGCCTGTCCGTATAACGCATAAATTACGATCGATAATAATGTAAATTTCGTTTTAACGGACAATATTATTATTATCGCGATAGCGTCCGTGAATACGCGAGTGCGGCGGGATCTCGGGAAAATCGGATGTCCACCTACATTGTTATCATTATTATTATTATTATTATTATTATCGTTATCATTATTATTATTATTATTATTATTATCATTATTATTGTTATTACTGACCCCGTCGCTGACGAGCACGGCCGCGCGTTAACAATGCATATTAAACGGTACCGATGAAACGGACGTTTCAATTTGTGCGAGCCGAACGTTTTCGGGCGTACGTAATTTCCCCGCCGCGCGGCGATTGTTTCTAGGCCCCGCGCGAACGTAATGAGAAACGTCTCTCTCTGTCTAGTCTCTGCGTTACGGAAAAACGGCGTGTCCCACGAAGATACGATCGACGCGACGTTTCGGAACGCGTTAATTTTCTTCGTAAATTATGTTTTTTTTTTTTTTTTTTTATGTAGCTCTAAAACGTTACGTTTACATATCGTTCTGTTTCTTTTTACTTTTTCTCCGTCGTCCTTATTTTCGGGGGCGGATCGACCGAGTGCTTTTTGATTTTCGACAGGCGACACCCCTTAATCGAAAATTCCGTAATTACACGGTTAGGTTGGTCCGAATAGATTTCGGTGTGGACATTTTTGATTTCCGTCGACCCGTCGACGAGACACGGGAGAATGGCGGGGCGCTTTTAAAAACCCCGGCGCGCCGTGCCGCCACGCGAATGACGCTCCACAAAATCAAGTAGTCGGTTCGCCCGAATAAGGATAATAGGAAATAATCGTAGTGTAACATTTCAGAGCTACTTGTTTCTCGAATCTTCAAAAATAAAAAAATTACGAAATAAGTAAATATATTTTTCAGGATACCGCAATGATCATATCTTCGTGGGACGGCCTGTACATGACTGTGTTATTATTGCGATCGTTTGATTAACGCGATTAACAGAATAATTATTCACTAACTCATTGTTTGGCCGCGATTTTTTTTTTGTGACCTTTTTTGAATTTATATAGTCAGCGCGTCGATGAAATGTTTGCGCGTTTGCCTCCCCTCCCCTAAATTCCTTGTACATTTTTCGACGATCGGGGGTGGATTTCGTTTTCCTCTCGTAATTCGGTATGATTAATCCGACGAACCGGTTGAACGTACTATAGTCGACGTGTTGACATTTTCTGGACGCGGCATAATTTCGCGTTTATTATGATTTCAAATGAATTTGAAATACCATAATTAGGGCTCGGATTAAAAAAAAAAATGTCCTTTCAAAAAATTCATTTACGATCTAAAAACGCTAGAAAACGTCTAAAAACAAACGAACTCGACGCGTAACCTTACAATAGATCGTGAGTCGTCGGAATATACGCCCGGGTCGTCGGCACATTCAGGTGTCGTTTTATTTCACGATTAATTATCGTTATTGTTTTTTATACGACCGTCGTATTACTGTTTTACGAGCTGTAGAGAAAAATAGAGCGAGAGAACGAGAGAGAGAGAGAGAGAGAGAGAGAGAGCTCGGAATTATATCCGTTTCCGCCGCCGCCGCGACCGACGGTGCTAATTGTGCGCGGCGCGGGAATCCGAAATGTCGACGCGCCGCGCGGGTCAAATCGAATTAATAACGCCCGCGCCGCACGGCCAGCGACGCGGCGGCGCGCGTTGTTTTATTTCGCATGACATTATTGTGTTGTTCCCCCGCGCTCGGTCAATATTCCGTAATTTATTGGTTTTTTTTTTTTTTTTTTTAACAAAACCGAATCGCCGAATGATAATCGCTACGACGGTAACCGGTCGAAAGCCCGCGCGTCCGACGACGGCGAATTCGCCGGGCTCCGCGTGACCGTTCGTGCCGGAGAATTCGCGATACCGCGCGCGACACTCCGAACGGTACCGTTAAACGGACGATCGATTAACGTTCGTTTTTTTTTTTTTTTGTTTTTTTGTTTTTTCTGATACGCCTGTGTTCAAAACAAATTACGAAGCCGATACGCCAATCGGTTTCGCAATAAATCCGAGAAACTCCCCGCCCGCAGCCGTCCCCCCGGAGAAACCGGGATGTTTTATGTGCGCGTTAAAATTTTCTCCCTCTCCTCCCCGGCCCCCGCACCGCTCAACAATTGTTTCGAAAAAAAAAGAAAACCCGCCGTCCGTAATTCCTTCCCGGTTTTCATTTTTTTTTTCTTTTTCGGCCGTTTAAAAGCAGAATCTCTACAAGACTCCGTTCAAAAACCCGAATCGCATAAACGTAAAAAACGTACTCCGTCAACGAACAGGTTCATCGTCGCGTATACAAACGTGTACGAATTGAACGACTCCGCTTGTTCCACCGTCCAAACTTCCCGCCTACAACAGTGTAGCACGCCCATATAGTATATACTATCGGTTCTTTTAGAATTTTGAATTGGTTTTACTATAATGTTTATTCGGTTTATTTTTTTTTTTCTATGGACAACTTTTCCACCAGCAATTTTAGTGCGTTCATCGGCTGTTTACGAAAATAACGCTTTTACACGATATTCTTAATTTTGTTTTTTGATTCTGATGTAATGAAGAAGCTTATGGTTTTACAATGATGTTTATTTGTTTGTTTTTATTTGTTTCTATATTGAGAACAACTTTTTTACCAGTAATTTTTCTTCAGTTTGCAAACGTGGCACCTTTTCCGAAAGGAAATTATATTGGAATGGTAATTTAAGAATTTTGTTTTTTAATTTTTAAAGCGGTTTTCATAATAATTGCGAAAAATCAGAAGAAAAAAACACAAGAAAACAGGCGAAATGCACAAGAATAATGTTATTATAATTTTCAAGTTTATTTTTTTGTTGAAAACTGAGATATAACTTGAAATTTATACATGCAATTTAAAGTAGTCTTTTCTAGACGTGAAAAATATTCAAAACATTTTTACGATTTTTCAACTTTTTATACATTTTAATTTTGCGAGTTTTTAAGTAATTTGTATTCTGTAGATACTTGATGGATAAAAATGTTAGACTAAACAGACATTTTTGGAAATATAACGGGAGGTTCATTATAGGTTTTAATTTATGTTAAAATAAAAAAAAATGAGTTTTATTTAGTATTTTTTTTTTTTTTATTAGAATTTTAATATCAAATTTTGAAGAAAATCGTAAATATTACGGCCTTTCAAAACACTATAACCGAACTTCGTTCAAAATCGTTTTTCGTCAGCAACGATTAATTGTTGCGTACAGATAAACATTAAATATTCTGCTCTATATCCTACCTTCCCAACTTCTCACCTATTACATTCCCCCCCCCTCTCCCATCGTGCGAAGTGTGTCAGTCTTTTTTTTTCAATTAATAGGTAACAACCACTTTTTGGAAATTTCTGGCTTCGTATCTGATTTAGCCAACAGAATTTCTGAAAGTAAATGTTTTAAGCCGCTAACAATGTATAAAGACTTCAACCATATTGTAGATATAAGTATCAAGTCTTAATGAACGTGATCGTATAATGTATGCACACTGGATGATTCGTTTAACGTAAAAAACTTATTATTATTTCACTAAGTTATGATTTTTTTTAAAAAACGACCTTTTTCTTTTCGATAGTTAAAGAAACGAGCATCTCTAAGCTTATTTTCACATTACCGTTATTTTTTGTCATCCTCATGTTCGGGGGCGAAACGACTACCTACTACTAACCTACATCAGTACTAACTTATGATTTTAAAATGAAAGCCTTAATAAAAACAATTTTTTAGCACACACACGCTGCAATCGCACAGGATATATTATATAGGTGAGTTTACAAAGGTGATTCACTAAGCATGTGCTCACCCGATTCGTATTTAATGTATTCAAATTCTTAGTTTTTTGGAATTTTTCAGTGTAGTTAAAGCCGATATTTTCCAATACTCAGATTTTTCACAACATTCAAGGAGTACCCTATGGCTACGCCATCTTTGGTTTTTCAAATAAAAATCAACATATTTTAATCACATTATAAATCCGATGATTTTTCTGAACATTTTGACAAATTTCACAGTAGATCTTGCAACATTAAAAACCTCCGAAACTAAGCCCATTAACCGTCTTTTGCTAGGTACCATAATGTTATGATGATTTAAACTCAAATTGTTTATGAAAAAAAAAAAAAAATAGATAAGTACCGTGTTAAAATTAAAATGAAACGTTTAAAAAAATAAGTAGGTACTATCTTAAAATTATAATTAAGTTTAAAATATATTTACGTAAGTACGCTGAACAGAGGCACGCCCGTCGTGCCAAGTATGTCCGCCTATTAGA